ATATATATATATCATTATATAATATATATACTATATATATATAATATATTATATATATATATATATATATATATAGATATATACTATATATAGATTAGATAGATAGATAGATAGATAGAATAGATAGATAGATAGATAGATATAGATATATTATATATATATGTAAATATATGTATATATGTGTGTGTGTTTGTGTGTGTTCGTGTGTGTGTGTTTTGTGTTGGTGTGTGTGTGTATACATACACACACACACACACACACACAAATAGATAAATAGAGACTCATCCTTGAATATCGATAAAAATACTTCTACATCCAAGAAACGCATGGAATGCATCTTGGCAATTTCGCCGTTAGTAAAAAAAAAAAAAAAAAAAAAAAAAAAAAAAAAAAAAAAAAAAACTTTTCTCTTCCTCTCCCCTCTAACACGAATATTTCCACCCGTTAAAACTGAACTGGCTCACTTACGCTCGTAAATTGGACTCGCTCTACGCTTCTTCATCAAGGGGAAAATACCATCCCTTTTTTCTTTTTTTCTTTGTTTTTTTTTAAGAAAGAAAACAAAATTGATCATGGTGTTGTCTTTATGGTGGGGGTGGAGTTTTTTTTTAAGAAAAAGAAAAAAATCTGATGGTAGTGTTGTTCATGGTGGGGTGGAGGGGGGGGGGGTAAGAGGAGAAATTATGGTAATGAGCGAAATAAGAATTTGAGTTATATTTCATATTTCGGATTTTGGTGCATATAAAAGTTTTGGTGTATATAAAAGTTTCTTAAATACATCTGTTACTTTGATACATAAACTGACGAAGATGTATACACAAACACACACACAACACACAACACATAAATACACTCACACATAACGAATACACACAACAGGGAAATACACTCACACATACATTAATACACACATCGCAACAAAACCCACACATGTACATAAATACAGGTAAATACACACACATACCTAAATAAACACATCACATAGCCAAACATATGTGCGTAAATACACATCACATAAATGCACAAACACGTATACATATACACACCACATAGTGTATGTATGTGTATATATATATATATATATATATATATATATATAATTATAATATATATATATATTATATACACACACACACACCACACACACACACACACACACACACACACACACAGTAATTACTACTACATATATATATATATATATATATATATATATATATATATATATATATATATATATATATATATATATATATCACACACACACACACACACACAACACACACACACACACACACACACACAACATATATATATATAATATATATATATATATATATATATATATATATATATATATATATATATATATATATATATATATATATATATCACACCACACACACACACACACACACACACACACACACACACACACACACACACCACACACCACATATATATATATATATATATATATATATATATATATATATATATATATATATATATATATATATATATACTGTATGAAAATGAATGAAAAGCATTTCAACTTGAGCAATTTTCGTTTCTTCCAGACATAAACATATTAGATTCGATTGCTTAACCATTAGCCATCAAAAGAATAATAAAGAAAAAAGAGGATTATTGATTGTATAAGAGGTTCCAGTTCAAAGAGCTTGAGGCCTGGATCCAATTAGAGCATCTATACTACTATAGGAGCTGCTCTGGATCCGTGAATGGAGGTTTTCATGGTCTTCCAAAAGGCGCTCTTCTCACAGGGGGGAGGGAGGGGAGGGGGAGGGAGGGAGGGAGGGAGGGAGGGAGAGGGGGAAAGAAAGATAGAATATAGATATAGATAGATATAGAGAGAAATGGATAGATAGATAGCAGCAATAGAGAAAGAGAGAAAGAGAAATAGATAGATAGATAGAGAGAGAAATAGATAGATAGATATAGAGATAGGTAGATAGATAGAGAGAGAAAGAGAGAGAAATGGGAGAGAGGAGACCTGGCAATGGTCCATAGGATGGACAAAGATAAAGTGAGAGATAGATAATATAGATATAGAGAGAAATAGATAGATAGAGATCAGGCAGAGATCAGAGAAAGAGAGAGAGAAAAATAGATAGATAGATTAGATAGAAAGAGAGAGAAATAGATAATAGATAGAGAGAAATAGAGAGATAGATAGAGAGATAGAGAGAGTAGATAGATGAGAGAGAGAGAGAGCAGGGGGAGAGAGGGACGACAGACAACAAACAATAACAGAAGAAAATATACAGCAGAGTAATAGATTAGGAATACAAAGAGAGTTTAAAGATAATGGCACTTCATACGCAAGACGAGAGAAGCTGACTCAGCATGTAAGAGATGGACAGAGAGAGAGCACAGAGGAGTAGAGAGCAGAGAGGAGCTAAGGCAGAGCACAGGAAGAGAAAAAAGAAACAAAGAGACATTAATTAATTCAAAGTTTAATCAGTAATCTGAGAATCATTGCCATCCGTCCCCTAATTATTAATTATCCCACAGACCTTATATATTATATATGAATACATAATTTGACAGACAGAGAGACAGATAGACGGACAGGCTATCAGGCAGACATGAAGCGTCGAAGAGAGAAAAGAAAAGAAAGGAAAAACTAATAAAAACAGGAAAAGAAAAATGAAAGCTAAAAGATGGAAAAGAAGAATAACGAAAGAGACAGATGCAAGGATGGATAGACAGATGGGAAGAGAGAAAAAAGAAAGAGAGAGAGCGGGAGGGAGGGAGGGAGGGGAGAGAGAAAGGAAGAGAAAATGGAAGAGAGAGCGAGAGAGAGAGAGAGAGAGAGAGAGAGAGAGAAGAGAGAGAGAGAGAGAGAGAGAGAGAGAGAGAGAGAGAGAGAAGAGAGAGTAGAGAGAGAGAGAGAAGAGAGAGAGATAGAAAGAGAAACCTGAAGAGAGAGAGAAAAAGAGAGAGAACAAGAGTGTTAGCAGGGAACAAAATAAAATAAAAGAACCAAGATAGGGAAAAAGAGAGAGAGAAAAAAAAAATACCACCCAAGAAAAAAAGGAAAAGAAAACCGAGACAAACAATAAAGAGAGGCAGTTAAAGGAAAGAGAAAAGAGACTGACAGAAAGAGAGAAAGACAGAAAGAAAGACAGACAGTGATTCTGCACAGTGTCTCGGAACCCTATTGTCCACGTGATGGGAGAGTCAATTCTGGAGACAGGCCGGGCTGTACCAAACGACCCCACGGAGAAAGAGGAGGGGTGGGATAAGCTAGAAAATAAATGGTAACAGAGAGAGATAGAGAGAGAGAGGGAGGAGAGAGAGAGAGAGAGAGAGAGAGAGAGAGAGAGAGAGAGAGAGAGAGAGAGAGAGAGGAAGAGAGAGGGAGAGAGAGGAGAGATGGCAGAGAGGAGATGGGAGAGGGACGAGAAGGAGAGGAGGAGAGCGGAGGGACGGCGACATGAAGCAGGGACGAGGAGAGCAGAGAGAGCAGAGAGAGAAGAGAGCAGAGAAGAGAGACAGAGAAAGTGATGCAGTGAGAGGAGAGAGCGAGAGAGAGAAAGAGAGAGAGAGAGAGAGAGAGATGAGAGCGAGTAGCAGAGAGAGAGAGAGAGACAGAGAGATAGAGAGAGAGAGAGAGGAGAGAGGAGAGAGAATGAGGAGAGAGAGAGAAGAGAAGAGCATAGAGAAAAAAAAGAGATAGATAGATAGATATAGCAACAGAACAACGAAGGAAGGGCAAGAAAACACACGAATATGCCGAAGGCCTTTTCGCTATTGCCCTGACGAAGCAATAGCGAAAGGCCTTCGGCATATTCGTGTGTTTTCTTGCCCTTCCCCTTCGTTGTTCCTGTTGCCCAATCTGTTTCACCATGAATTCCACACATAGATACATATAGACACACACACACCACATGCCAGAATGAGAGAGAGGAGCGAGAGAGAGATTGATGAGAAGTGAGAGAGAGGAAGAGAGAAGAGAGAGAGAGAGGAGAGAACGAGAGAAGAGAGAGAAGAAGAGAGGAGAGAAGAGAGATAGAGGAGAGAGAGAGAAAGAGAGACAGACAGACAGAAAAAAGACAGGAACAGTGGAGAGACAGAGAGATATACAGAGACAGACAGACAGAATGAAGAGACAGAGACAGACAGACAGAAAGAGAGAGAGAGAGAGAGAGAGAGAGAGAGATGAGGGCGAGAAAAGCGTTTATCGTGTCACCCCGTTGTAGGAACAGCTAATCCCAACTTCACTCGTTTCCGGAGACATATGGGGCACCAGCAGCCTCCCTAAAGATTAATAGCGGGCGAAACCTAGCGCGATAAAGAGTTAGCAAATTCTGCTACACTTCCACGCCTTTATAGATATATATTTTTCTTCCTAGCGGATTTTTGCTACGGCTGTGAACTCTGATCCTGTCGCAGAGGGAGAGGCCCAGCTGGGATCTTCCTGAGCGCTTTCTTGCTTGATTGCTATATATATATATATATATATATATATATATATATATATATATATATATATATATATATATATATATATATATATATGTATATATATATATATATATATATATATATATATGTATGTATTATAAATTTTATCTTTTTGTTTTGTTTGCTTGTTTCTCTTCTCTCTCTCTCTCTCTCTCTCTCTCTCTCTCTCTCTCTCTCTCTCTCTCTCTCTCTCTCTCTCTCTCTCTCTCTCTCTCTCTCTCTCTCTTTAGCATTATGTATGTCAGGTGAAGGCACATGTGGATACATACATAGACATACACACAAATACATACACAAACACTTACACACACAAACATACACACAGCCCACACACACCCATAAAACAAAGAAACAACACACTAAATCAAACAGAAAAAAAAATCAAACAAACACACGAAAATAAACAAACACACACAGACCCGATCTCCCCCCCCCCCCCCCAGGACAACCGGCCGATGATTCCCGATTTCTTAAAGCCGATTTTTCTCGTTCGTGTGATCGGGTTTTTATTATGTCTGGGATCGAGAGTGGGTTTCCGGAGCAGCTAGCGCCACTCCACAGGTGAAATGGGGGAAATGGGAGAAACTGGGAGAAATGGGGAAATGGGGAAATAGGAGATTGGGAAATGAGGAGAAAGATAAATTGGGAAATGAGAGAAATGGGGAAATGAGAGAAATTGGGAAATGGGAGAAATGGAAGAACTTTGGGAAATGGCAGAAATTGGGACATGGCAGAAATGGGGGAAATGAGAAAATTGGGGAAATGGGGAAAATTGGGAAATGAGAAATTGGGAGAAATGGAAAATGGATATAGAAAAAATAGAAAATGAGAAACTGGGGAGAAAGTAAGAAATGGAGAAAATGTGAAAAATTGGGAAATGGGAGGAGAAATAGGGAAAAAAATGGGGAAGCCTCGCCACTGGTAGCATGGGAGACTCCGCTTCTTTGTCATTGTTAGGTAGAGCTTGGGGTGCGGGAGGAGGGGGGAGGGAGGGGGGGAGGGAGGGAGTTTAAGTTACAGTTTATAGGATGAGGAAAGAAAGGGAGGAAGGTAGGA